TCAAATCTGCCTAGAAGCATCTCTTCCAAATAGATGCAGATTCCCCAAACTGTTCACTCTTATGGGTGGCTAGTCCTCACTTCTGCCTTTCTTTGTTTGGGCAAGTTTCTGGGATAGTGCAGAGAATTTTCCAAATGAGGCAAATCAAAGAATGCCCTTCTTTAAGTATCAGAAGGTGTCATTCTCTCTGTTGACAAGGAAGAAATTCTGAATAGATGCCAATGTAAAGGAATTGTTCCCTTATCTCTTGCCAAACCAGACACTGGAAGAATTTCTCACAAACAGCTCATGCTGAAGGATTTCTAATGAACATTTCTTCATGCAGCTTTCACCATTGACTTAAGAGAGAGACACTGGCACATGAAATAAATAGAAACAATATTTGAGTTGCTTGATTCTTAGGTGTTATTACTTATGCAGCACTTTAGTTGAGAAAGATGCATCTACTTTTCAAAATTTTACTTTCCTTTTCTATATTGTTCTGTATAATATGGATGATTTAAAAAGAGAGAGAGAACAAAGATACATGTGAGTTAAGAAAACAAATCCTCCCCTTAAAAATTTGCCTGTCTGTCCATTAGGAGAGCATCCCACACAACAGCTTCACACACTTCCATCACTCTTTCTCCCACAGTGCACACACACTTACATTTCTCTTCATATGAGTGGACAAATCCTGTCCTGTTGTGATCTCTAACTTCCCAGGGAACAGACTGTGTAAACTGAAAACACAATAGCGAAAGTTTGTGTGTGTTCTGTGAACAGAGGGAATGATAGAGCTGAGTGGGTGGGAACTAGAGTGGAATAATTCTGAGGAGAGCCCACACAATATCGAAGTACCGTTGTGGATGTGGTTTAGTCACTAATCGCTCAGGGGATGGTGTCTTTGCCCCTCAGCCACCCTCGGTTGAGCATCACTGGATGCATGCCACATTGCTGCTGATAACCACAGCAACAGCCTGCTTCGAGGCAGCCTTGTGGTTTTGTCATTGTCCATTTCCCTGGTAAGAGATTCTTGGCAAACAGTTGAAGAGAATATCTTCATCCTAAGGTCCAAGATCTACTTGAAAAATCTAAATAGAGATGATATGGCCTCCCTCGATGGTCTGTAATATCTGATTTATGAGTAGGTAATTAATCTTCAAGCACAAAAGACTACACTAGTGTCTCTTATACTAGTCGGATGTAATTCACTACAGGCTAAGAAGTTTTTGAGTTTTTTACTTTAGTAACAGACCAATTAAAATTTGCTGGTAAAGGTATTCATTTACATATTTACTGTTTTGGTTTGTTTTGTTTTTTGAGACAGGGTTTCTCTGTGTAACCCTGCCTATCCTGGAACGCACTCCATAGACAAGACTGGGCTTCATCTCAGAGATCCATCTGCCTCTGCCTCCCAGGGGCTGTGATAAAAGGCATGTGCCACTACCGCCTAGCTTCATTTACGTTTTTCATGTATATTATTATCACTCCATGGCCTTCAGAACCAGTTTATATTAATTCTAAATAAAGGAAGAAAAAGAAGGAAGGAAGGAAGGAAGGAAGGAAGGAACGAAGGAAGGAACGAAGGAAGGAACGAAGGAAGGAAGGAAGGAGGAAAATGAGGCTTCAGAGACAGCTCAGTTGGAAAAGTGCTCACTATGCCAGTATGAGAACTTGAACTCAACCCTTAACTTTTACAAAAACATCTGGACAGAGTGGCACGTGCTGGGAATCCCACCACTGGGCAGATGGATACAGATGGTTCCCTGGAGCTTCCTGGCCCAACAGCCTAGCCTAATCAGTAAGGTCCCAAAGAGAGACCTTGTTTCAAAAACAGTGGATGGTTCTTGAGAAATGACACCCAAGATTGACCTCATTTTTGCAATTTTAAAAATTATTTTTGTTGTGTGTGCTTATGTGCACATTGAGCATGTGTGGCCAATGTTCAGGTATAAATGCCCATGTATCACAGTGGAAATCAGAGGACACCTTAGAGAAATAAGTTATCTTCTCTTACTATGTGGATCATGAACATGGATGTTATGTCATGTGACTTGGTGACATATCTGTTGAACTGTCTCTCTGGCTCGAATTACTCTTTTTTTTTCTTTTTTCTTTACTATGAATTTACTTTCAGTGACTATTAATTATTTTTATAATTATAGAAACACATATTCATAACAATTGTGTGGTTAAAATAAACAATCCATTTCAAGAGACAATCCCTGGGTACATATTGAAAATTGCTTTTCAATATATTCACTTGGTAGACAGATATTTAATAAATAACAATTGTGTACAAAACTGTTGTATTGAGGTTAGTTGGGCACAGGTGAGTTATACTAGCAGTTTAGATAGAAGAGCCTGCTTAGAATAAAGGATTGTGCCAGCATGCAGACTTAGACAGGAACCAAAGTTATAATAGAGTTACTGAAGAAAATAAAAAGGGAGCATACTTGTTCCTACAAAGAAATCGGATAAAATGGGATGTCAATAGCAGGTTGAAGTTGGGCAATTTTACATTTTATTCATATAGTAATTTGCTTCAACTATGCTATGATAAGCACTGTGCAGTATGGTAGATGTGGGTGCCTTTAGTGAGCTTGTCAATTGCCCTCATTTGAGAGAACTACTTTAAGAATTTGGTGACTTCACAGAACAAGACCTGGTTTCAGAATCAGTAACAAAGAGGTGTCACAGCATGAAAGTGAGCAGGTGTGGGGAGGGCTGGGGTAAGAGGTCGGTTAGAAGAAGAGACAGGATTTCACACTCTCAGATGAACAGGGTATAAGGAAGGACAGGCTCCATTGCTCAGGCCAGCTGTGCCCTGGTTCAGGACAGAACCTGCTGCCTTCTTTCCCCCACTCTAGAGAGGAAACTGATTCAAATAACACTTTACAAGGAGAGTTCATTTTATAGAGCTTCACTGTCCTATTCCCCATGTTTCACATGAAGGGCCCTCCTGAGACTTCAGAGAGCTTCCTTAAATTCTTGCTGTGGTGAAGTCCTATGTCAGTGACTCAGTGTGATGTAGGATTTTTCTCTAACCATAAACATGGTGTCAAATTCTTGACTCCTTGATAACTAACCATGGAGAGTAGAAAGGTTACTCAAGGAACTTGACATTTGCTTCCTCAGCACAAGTGGATATGAAGATTCAAGTTTGAATTGCTAGAGAGCCGTAATGGTGGTTTTCAGGGACAGTGTGAAAGAGAATTTGCAGTGGTTCAAAGAGCCTCAGAGAACCTGCTCAATTAACCTGGGGTAATCAACAACAATAACAAACATAAGAAATCCTGTTTCAAACAGGATGGAAGGTGAAAACAGAAAACAAAAGTGTCCTGTAGCCCACACTCACACATACACCATATACAGATTTTTCCAGAATTCAATTTTATTTCACATAGATAAAAACAGAAAAATATGAAGTTTTCCCACATCATAGCACAGGAATTCAATGGAATATATCTTACTCCAAGTAAAACTTTACTACGGTATAACTGAAGTAAGATTTTTGTTCTTCAAAGTAAAGCAAAATAACAAATTATTGTTTGAAATTATTTTAAATCCAGACATAAGCATTTGGCTTTATTATTAACATCCTATCTAATCCATACCAAATGATCTCCATATCAGTTAATAAAGATGTTTCTTAAAATGGTCTTGGTCAGTTTGAAAATAGCAGGAAAAGCAACAGTTCAGAAATAACCATAATTTTGCAACATATTCAACTGTGTGGTAACTATACACACACACACACACACACACACACACACATAATATGTATTATTGTAATATATATTATATATATATATGGTTCTAATCAGCTCTTTTGTACCCACAAATTAATTTAAAATAGTTTTCACCAATTTTCTGGACAAGTTGATGATTTAGAATCAAGTAATAGCTATTTTAATGTTTGCCCAAGAGACTAAATTCTCAAAAATTCTTTTAAATAGACGAAAATTTCAAATAAGTTTGTTATCAGATAAAACAAAAGTTTCTGATTGCTCATCTTGAATAGTGTTTGATTTCAGGCAAAACATGTACAGAAAATGTAAACTTAAACTCTGCTGTAAGATGTAACTCTTTTAGAACTTAGACTTCAAGACTGGTCTTAAGTATTTACTTATAAACATGCCAAGATATTATTTACCTTTTTTTTGCAGAAAAATGAAACCACAAAATTATTACCGGGACTGAAAATTTTGATAACTCTACCATCTAATGTTGGAATAAGATGCATTATTTGAAATACATAAGCTTAATTAATATTTGGTTTCTTTGCACATTACCTAGATTTAAAATACTCTATGTCTATGTTTCAAAATGTGAAATTATAGTATATGTTGATAGGTTTTTATTGTGGCAGAGAGGCAATATTAGTCTTCTATGGAAAATCAAGAAAGAAAGAACCTATTTTTCTTTCTTTCTTAGGAGTAGAAAAATTAAATAGAAGAAAAAAGAAAAGCCTGATGCCCCCAATAAAAGGGTGATTAGTTGAAGAGAGCAGTATTACTTTTTTGACACTTAAAAGCATTCTCCCTAGTATCGGGTATAACATAATACCATCTAATTCTTAGTATTACAGTCACATATGTATATGCACACATATAAAAATACAGGCACTGCATGGCAACTAGATACCTAAGTCAGAGCATTAGCAAATCACTTACATCCTAACAGCTTGTTTAGACCTGAACAAACTATCAGTGAGTAAACTAGTAATTTTTAAATAATGTGGTAAAACTCTGGTTGTGGTATTTTATTTCACTGAATTAATTTGAGGGGGGAAGCTAGCTATTTTAATACTGGTACATTCTGGATTGTATAATACAAATATAGGTACAGAAGCTTAAAAGGATCTTACATTTTCTATGAGGGAAACATCACTTAGTCTGTATCTTTGGTATGTATTTGTAAAACATTTTAACTCTGTAAACATTAGAAGTTTTATGATCAGGAATGGGAAAATGTTTATACTCTACTACAGTGATGCTGGTGGATGTCTACACAAGACCTCTTAGAGATATCAATCAATTGGAGGTAGGAGTTTAATCAATGAATTGCTGCAGACATGAGCTGTGCATCATGTCTTCAGATTTTAAATTTTATTTGGCTAGATTCACCAATGCTTTTAGTTTGTCAACAGTAAGAGAACCAAACATTCGGGGAACTAAAGGGTCACATCTTCGTGGAACTGGAGAATAGAAATATCTCTGTAAGCTCTCTGGATAGGATCCTGTGGAAACCAATCCCAAAGTGGAAGCCAGCGACCGAGAGAGCAGTGTTGCTGGCCAGTTTCTGCTGTGTGGTAAGAGCGGTGGATTACGAGTACCACCCTGAGAAATTCCCCTAAAAACAATTCTGCTAGAAGGAATTCCAGTCTTCATCTCTCGATTTATCACAGCTTTTACATTTTCTGCTGCCTGTTTAGTTCCATATTTATCCTCCTGGGAATCTGGTGAAAGTCCAGTAATATCAAACCAAGAAGGCATAGCTGTATTCAAATTTAATGTAACAAGCATAACAGGCACATGTGGACAGATGCATTTCATGTGGGAACTTTTGATACCTGCAAAGCCTTCTGCCCATCCATGCCCAGTAATTCCCATCTGTGAAGGAAAATTACCACAGTGGTGGCCTTCTGGGCAGTGGGCAGTGGGGTGGGCATGTTGTTGCCACACATCCATGGGCTGGCAGACAGTACCCACCATATAAAAATGTAATGGATTGCTTTTAAATATTTTATTTTTATTGAAAAAGGATTTTTTTCTCACATAATTCTGACCACCATTTCCCTTCCTGATACTCCTCCAAATTTCTCCCCACCTCGCCTGCCATCCAAATCCACCATTTCAGATAGTGACTTAAGGTCCACTCCACAGGATGGAGTAGTTTGTTTCCCCAATAAAACTCCCTTGGAGAAAACTAAATTTTCACTTGTAAGTGGTTATCAATTGGAGTCGATTCTGGATTAGGGATGGGGTCATGTTTTCACTTCTCCTTTCAGTTCTAGGATCCCAGCTGTTACAGACTTGTGCAGGCCCTCTGCATGCTTGCCTCAGTCTCTATGAGTTCCTATGTGCATTGATTCTGTTGATTAGCAGGGCCTTATTTTCTTTCTTTTTAAAAATTTTTAATGTTTTTTATGTGCATTGGTGTTTTTGCTTGCATGTATGTCCATGTGAGGGTGTCTGATCCCCTGGAACCAGAGTTACAGACAGTTGTGAGCTGCCATGTAGGTCCTGGGAATTGAACCAGGGTCCTCTGGAAGAGCAGCTCTGGAAAAGCAGCCAGTGCTCTCAACCTTTGAGTCATCTCTCCAGCCCCAAAGAGGCCTTGATTTCTTGGTGTCCTCTGACTCTTACACTCTTTCTGCCTTGTCTTTGACAGTTTTCCTGAGCCCTGAGTAAATGGGTTTGATGGAGACACCCCATTTAGGGCTAACTGTTCCAAAGTCTCTCACTCTCTGCATAATTTCTGGCAATGGGTCTCTGTATTTGTTCCCATCTGCTGCAGGAGGAAGCTTCTCTGATGATGGCTGAGCAAGGTACTGATCTATGAGTACAGCAGAATGTCATTAGGTGTCATTTTATTGCTACCTTTGGGAGGGTATAGAATAGTAATACTTGGTTTTACTGTAGGTTCCCTGGGCTATCTAGCCTCTGATTCTTAGTCACCCAAGCGGTGTCAGTTATGGGTTTCATGCTGTGGAGTGGACCTTAAGTCAAGTCAGATATTGGTTGGTTACTCCCACAAACTTTGTTCCAACATTGCACCAGCATATTTTGCAGGCAGGACACCATTGTAGACCAAAGGGTCTGTGGCTGGACTGGTGTAGAGAGTGTGGAGAGTGACCAATGTTCTTGGTGTTTGAAACTTAATAAATGAAGTTAATATTGATACAGAGTTCAAAAATAATTCTCAGGAATAAGGATACCATATTTACAGTTTTCTAATGAATCATTGCCCTTATCATTCGATTGTGTAGCATTTTCATCCCTAGATTAAGTACCTTACCAGCACCAGGCAATACTTCAAGTAACACATTTCCAAACCCTTCACGGAGTTTAGCATCCAGTGAGTCATTCTGACCCTTATTTTTTTGAATCTCCCTTTGTAGTTGGCTTATCTCTGAATCCATTGCTTCACATTTCCTTTTAAATCCCTCTTTAAGCATGTCTTCTTGGATCTATAAAAAGAAAAATACACTTGGAAAACCATGCGTATTGAAGGTCGGGGCTTGACACTTGCATGTGTCTATCACTCTACCAAAACGTGTTCACTGATGAAGTTGCCTGATTCCTGGATTAGGAGAAATGACCCAAACAAGCTGTATCCTGTGATTCCTTCAGCACCATTCACAAGAGTGGAGATGTCAGACAGGGAACCTGAACACTATCCCTCTGATCAGTTCTGGGGCCCACAGAGTCTCACCTTCAACTTGTGTGCTAGCATCTCCTCTTGCTCTCTCAGAAGGTTCTTCCTCTCAGTCTCCATCTTCTCATGCAGCTGGGCCATGTTTTCTTTGTAGGTTCTCTCTTGAGCTTCCATCACGTGCTGCATTTCCACCTGCTTCTGTCTCAGTAGCTCCTGCTCCTGTTCCGCTGCCTCCTTCTGAGCCCGCTCAGCTGTCCCACAAGGGTTTGAGAGAAGCGAAACACAGCAGTCAGGACAGAGCTCTCCTTTCTTGGGCTCAGAGACATGGCTGATTTGAAAGATGCAAGAGAGAAGTCTGAATCCCACTCCCCATATTTCCAGAGCGTATTTTGGAACGATGCTAGAAGGTACTTGCAACACTAGCTGAGTGGGACCGTCCGGCCCTCTTAACTTTGGATTAGCAGAGTGTGCAGTCTGTGTAGGAAGACCTTCCTGACAGTAAGTCAGCAGGCTTAGCAGAAGCCTACCCATCCCTGTGAGAGCCAAGTCCTCCCATATACCTTCCATGGCCTTCTGTCCCTCAGTGAGGGCTTTGTCTGACTGCAAGATGGAGTTCTCTATGGTAACCTGCAACTGTAGGAAGCTCTGGAGGACATGATTTGCCTGGAGAAACAAGAAAGTAAAATTTTCAGGTCACAAAAACACACTGTTGCCCTTAAAGTCCTGGAAAACTTCTCATCCTTCTTAAGACCCCCTGTTTCCTTCCTTTTCACAGCAGTAGTTCAAATCTCTTCTGTAATTTTTCAAAACCTTATGTGGCAGCCCTTTCCCAAGTCTCTCCTTCCAGATAGTGTTCCACTTCTCAGGCCAGGTTACAGTCCTGGAGACCCAGGCAGATCCTGCAGATCCTCAAAACTGCCCTCTCTGTTGTTTAATACACTCACACACTTCCTGTCTGCTAGAATCCTTGTTGTGCTTTTATTATCCGGGTAGGCACCCATTGATAATCCATCATTGCTCTGCATCTTTTTTCAGAGAAAGCTTCACTAAACTGTTGCTAGAGTTTTCCTGACTGGCTCACAGTCAGGACAAATCTCTCTCACCCGCCAGCCCCACAGCCGCTCAAACCCGATCAAGTAAACACAGAGACTTATATTGGTTACAAACTGTATGGCCGTGGCAGGCTTCTTGCTAACTGTTCTTACAGCTTAAATTAATCCATTTCTATTAATCTATACCTTGCCATGTGGCTTGTGGCTTACCGGTACTTTACATCTTCCTTGTCCTGATGGCGGCTGGCAGTGTCTCCCCCACCCAGCTTCCTGTTCTCTCCATTCTCTTCTCTGTTAGTCCCGCCTATACTTCCTGCCTGGCCACTGCCAATCAGTGATTTATTCATTGACCAATCAGCAACACATTTGACATACAGACCATCTCACAGCACTAAACTGTCTTCTGAAGTTTGCATGGCTGCTAAATACACTGAGCTGCCCTACCTGTTCTTCTGTGGCCTGACCATGCATCAGCGTCTCAGTCATCCCATTTCACAACTCTTAAATGTGCACAACAGTAGTACCTTTTTATACCCTTATTCTGAGAATTGAATTGTAGCTTCCAAAGTGGCATGCACTTTCAAGTTACTGATGGTATCTGTCATATAATGGAAGGTATTAAAATCTGGGCATGGTGGCTCATGTCTATAATCCCAGCACCAAGGAAGCTAAGGTTGCCGGATTGCAAGTTCAGTGACAGTCTGGCCTTGTTCCACCAAGAATCCATTTCAAAACAATACAAAGGGAAATAAAACTTAAAAAGAGGGTGTTGGCTATGTGAACATCATTATTATTGCAACCACCATGATAGTAATTGCACCATTATGTCTGCTTTCTGCTTGTGCCAGGATAGTTCTTACTCCAATGTATCCAACTGACTATTTGTGAGGCAAGAGCATCAGTATCTCATGGACAAATATGTCTTTGATCTTCAAATCTCACTATTTAGTTTAGAAAAAAATTGCCTTTTTTAATCAATGGAAAAAGTTACTATACTCTAGTTAGGATTAGAAGAGTATAAGGGAAAGACTAATTTTATGACTTCATTGAAAAAGAGGATAGAGAGATATGGGGGATATTCTCCTCATATCATATATGTGTGTATGTGTATGAAAATTTCTTAATATAACACAGTACCATGTACAGTATATAAAATGAAATATATATACAATGAAATTTTTAAATAAATACATAAAAATAATAACTCTGGATACAAAAAAGGTGGAAATGCATAGATAGATGTGTTCAGCCATCTCCTCATGAACAGTTCAATTCTAAGGAGGAAGGATTCTTCCTGGTAACCCTGAGACCCACCTCCCTGTTGCTCGTTCCTCACCTTCACTCCCTTCCTGGGCACTTGCTCATAGCCCTGTTCAACCTTCTTCCTGGCTTCTAAGTAGAGGCTGTGCCCACCAGGAACAGAGAAAGCTCCACGTGAGACGCTCTCCCTCAGGGGCTCTGCCAGCTTCTCCAGCTCAGCCTGGCAGAGACGGAGAGATTCTGCTTCGTTCTGTTGCATGAAAGCTTCCTTCCTTTTCTCTAAAGTGATCTACAAAGGGATTGTAGAGATACAAGAATTGGAAGCTGTTAGAAAATGGATCCAACTGTGATCTTGAGGGAAATAATAGACATGGATAAGGAAATTACACTATAAATCAGGAAACTATGTTCAGTACCATGTCTGAGCAACTGTATGAGTAACCATGGAAATTCTATGCCCTTCCAGTGGCCAGGCTCATTGTGAAATAATAAAGTCTAGCTTCAGGACCTTTGGCTCTTCCAGCAGCAATGAGATTAAAAGCGAACAATTCGCCAGCTGAAAAATGGGACATGGTTGGCAGGAGCATTTCCTCCAAGAATTAATATGGAGGAAAATGTATCTGTAAAAGAACAACTCACACAGTGACTGGAACTTTGTATAGGTTCAGGAGCCCTTCATCCCCTCCATGGAGAATACGGGTGTGTGGACATAGAATAATTATAAATTACAGTCCAAGGGATTCTCCTGCTTGAGTCATGAGGCTTTCCAGAGCTTACAGGTGAGAAGTGAACTCAGTTTACATCTTCCTTCAGTCTCCTGAGCAGAGCACTCCAGCCTCCCTGCACTATGCTTATAATCTACAAAATTGAGTTAATGCACATGTGCTGTTCCGTGTTGACACATTCATTGGACATACTTGTGCACTGATGAAAAAAATAATCAAGTCCCTCACTTTTGATCCTGTGGAACTCTCTCACTCACAAGAATCCAGATGAATGAAAAGGTCAAAATGGCAGCCATTAATCAACACTCCTGAATGTGGGTATCAAGAATAAAAAAGACAAAAGACACAGACACAGTACCACCAACTTCTTCTGGAACTGCTGATTATCATCCTTGAAGGAGTGCTCCATGAAGACAGCAATGGCTTCCTTCTCACAGGCTGTGTGCACATCCAGCAGCTCCTGGAGCGTGTCTGTGGGAAGCCTCACTCGCTGGGCCATCTGCTTATTGTAGTGGTCAACCGCCCTCTCCACAGCTGCAGAGTTCTCACGCTCAGCCAGAGTGGTCACTGCATTCTCCAAACAAGGAACTGCTCCACTATTGATGGAATTCACATAGGTCGTCACCAGAGTTGCCAGTCCTGACCAAGGCAGGGAATTTAAGGTTAAATATGAAGCTAACTTTTGTTAATTTCACATGATTCATGAATCAGCAATGAAGTATTAAATTACTTAGGCAATAAAATTTCATGTATGAGAGGAAGCCTATATTGTTGGACCCTGCCTCAACTGAAAGTGATAACGTTTTTTTTAAAAAGCATTCAAGAACTTCAAGCCAATAACAGAACATTATGTGAAGGAGCAGCTCTTTTGAGTATGGGCTTCATGTGACTGGACAAAGCCATTTCATTGAAGGACATGTGTATATAAGACAATAGTTAATTTGTGTTGGGGATTGTGTGTGTATGGTTGCATGTATTTGTGTGTGTGTGTGTGTGTGTGTGTGTGTGTGTGTGTGTGTGTGTGTGTGTGTGTGTAGAGGCCAAATGACATCCATTGTTGCCTCATTTTAATTTTATATTTCACTGGGACAAAGTCTCTCACTGGCTGGAAGTAGGCAAGACTGTCTGGGCAGCAAGCCCCAATAATCTGTCTGCCTCTACTTCACCAGTTACAGGTGTGCATCACCACCCTAAACACTTTTAGGTGGATTCTGGGCATTGAACTCTTGCTTGCAAGCTAAGCACTTTACTGACCGAACCATCTCCTGAGTCTAAAAACAGTGAATTTTATCTCAAACTCTAATGAACTTTTAGGAACCTTTGTCTCTCACATACTTTAGAACTGTCTTTTCTAACCAGACAAGCACTTGTGTCTTTGCACATTACTTCAGACACAGGTATTCCCTCTTTAACCTCAGTCTTGCTTCTTTGATCATTAGTCATTTCTTAAGATGTATTAGGTTTTAATAAAGCCTATGTAGAGAGGTAATATTTAAGAAAGACAAAATTTTCTGAGTAGCATGAACAGCTGTTTCTCTATATTCATATGAGATACTAATGTTTTATCAAAGTTTTACAACACACAATTTCTAAGTAGAGAGATATTCCCTGGGGCATAGGTAACTCACGGTTTCCATTGACAATGATTCCCTCTTTCAAGGTCTTGGCCTTTGCATTGGAGAAGATGTGAGAGCAGAATGCTTTTGATTGCAATTGGAAATTTTGATCCAACTGGTCTTCTGGCATTTCCTCAACATGGACTAAGAGTTCTGTTTCTTTTGTAGGTCGATCAAAAACAAAACACTTCCGTTTTGGAAAGAAATGCCTAATGCATTCCCTAGGCATGTTAGAACGTTGAGCTTTGAGACCTCTGCCTGTAAAATATATAAAAGAAATTTGTTCTTTGAAAGGACAGCCTTCAGGCTAAGAACCTGGTGTTTTCATTTCCAGAGAGCTTGGGATCACAGGTGTTCTTCTATCCCTACATCTCCTGTTATCCACCCACATGGCTCTTCATTTGAGCATCTACGACAGTGATAAATCCATTTATGCTGAAAAGTGAAGGGCAATGAAGCAATTATGAAGATAAAAAGGACAAGTTATCCATGGGATGAGAGCAACTAATCTTTGGTCTTCCTAGCATTTGCTCCAGACCCCAGTGGATTAAGAATTTAACAAACATTTACTAGACAATTAACTATTGAAACCAAAGTGTTAGAAGAAGTTTTCTGACTTTCCTATATCCTTGTGAGAAATGAAATTTGGATCTTAAAACAAAGTGATGCAGTAAACAATAATATGCAACCCGGAAAAATGAAAGATGACATATGATATCAGGTCAGGACAGAAAAACACAAATATCAGCTTCCTGTAGACAAAACCATAAAAACATTAGGAAATTCTTTGCCTTGACCATTATGATGAGTAATATGCACTTAATATAATGTAAGGACCTCTTCTCTTTCTTAAATCAGAATCTGTTAGTCTTGACTGAGAATTAGAGCAATTCTCTGGCAAACAGGTATTCAATAAATGCTTGTTGAGAGAAAAAAGGAAGGAATGAATAAAATTACAGCAAAACCTCTCTCAACAGCTAAATATTGCATATTCATATATATATATAATGCCAAATATATTAACTGTGAGGCTGTCAAGAGAAGAGGAGGACGTTATAAGAAACACAAAAGATTTGAGTTTTATTGAAAGAAAATATCAATGTTTTTTCTTAATTATTCAAAATATACACTTTATCTGAAAAATCTTAAGTAGCCAAATACTAATAAGATATATTGTACAAAAGAATTACAATTTGGGGTAGATCACTTCATTTCATGTGATTTTATGTGCTCTGTGTATACTCTCTCTCTCACTCTCTCTCTCTCTCTCTCTCTCTCTCTCTATATATATATATATATATATATATATATACACATATACATATATATGCGTGTGTGTGTATATATAGTTAGGATATATATTGTTAAGGTTAAACTAAAATATATATCTACATATTATCTATAATATGTGTGTGTGCATGTGTGTATGTGTGTGTGGGGAGAGAGAGAGAGAGAGAGAGAGAGAGAGAGAGAGAGAGAGAGAGAGAGAAAGCACAGAAATCCTTTATAAGGAGCAACACGTGTCAAGTATGGACATTATAGAATGTATTATCATCCAAGTAACATTTTCACTATTAATTGATTTAAGATCATTTGGTCCAATGTTTATGCCTCATTGTTTCCATTGCATTTAAACTCCAGCAGGTGAAAAAATTGCAGGATAATAACCATGGAAAATGTTCACCAATCACATTTCAGTTATCAGTTTATCACCGGCTTAGAGTTCAAGTCAGGGTGAAAGCAACATTTATGCCAAATACTGAATGAGACAGTTAGAGCCTTCCCTCCCAAGCCAGGTCTGATACCTGGAATCAGCTTCAGGGCATTCTCCAGGTACTCATCTGCTGTGATGACGCGTCCATCCAACTTCAGCTCCAGAACGAAATCCCGAACAGCCCAGACAAAGTCTGGAAAGAAACTCACGAACTCACAGGAGTCATCCATTTCTTCAGATCCTGATGTGGATTTTGCCCTGATCAGCTCTGTCAGTTCAGTGACATAGCTGGAACCTTAGCTAAAGAATAAAAGGCAGCATTCTACCCTCCCCAGGTTTCTCCTGCAAACCCATCTTAAAAGCACCCTCTTTTGTTCCACATACCCTTTTCCTAAGTCCTAAGTACTGAATCACATAAGCACTATTCCTTCCCAGTTGTCACCCTTAAATTCGGGAAACATGGCAGTTATGTCCCGGGAAGGATACTGCAGCTGCTCCAGGGCCTGGTGGTTGATGGTGCTCATGCTGTTGTAGACAAAGGTGCTGCTTAGAAGCACGGCCAGGGCGAAGATCCAAGAGTCATTCTTAGAGTCACCCTGGAAGTCACATGGGGACAAGGGACTTCAGAATCTAACCTCTAATCTTTCTCTTGTTTATCTGCTGCTTAAGCAGAAATACAGCAGGACAGTAGGATGAAGAATAATGTTTTGAAGAATAAAAAATCTTATTTCCTTTTCAGTATTGAAACTGATCTTACCAGTTTCCATAATCAAAATCAATGACACTGTCAAATTATGCAAAATTTTTGCTATAATGATTAATGCAATATATCAACATGCCATTTAATTAACAGGTTTTCAATTATGTCATATTAGAGGCAAGAACGTTCACTCAAATTCAACAACTACTCATAAAACATCTACAAAATATCAGGTACTACACTGAGCTGTGTGAGTGCAAATTTTCATATAACAATAGGGATAGGCAGACCTGTAAATATAGAAATACAACCATGATGATCCATCTGTACCAAAAGTAGAATAGAATACTAGTATATGAAGAAAATGATTAATTTTAATAAGTGCAAGAAGGGCTATGTAACTTTAGAGTAATGTGACTGTGTCACTGGGATATGATGGCTATGGTAGAGAAACAGCTTCTCTTTAAATACTTGCTAGTAGATGTAATTATAGATTTAAATAAATTACACAAGTGGGAAGATTTATACTCGGTAAATAAAAAATATTATAAAGCACAGGTCATGTAGTTGCCTTGCACACCTATTTGTTTGGCTGAAGCAGTGGCCATTTGGAAGTTGGAAGTTGAAACTGGAAGTAAGGTTTGAATGATGTGTGAAAGTCAGGCAAACAGAATTAGAGGCTACCCAAACCTACAAACTCCAGAGTCGCTGAGTTGTTCTCTATTATCAGGGTATGCTATAGTGTCTCTCCATTGCTCATGCGCAGCATATGGACTTGGTTCTTATTAGACCTGATGTAGCAGGCAGGAAATCTTTGATATTCTGGGGATGACTTCTTTTCAATTCCCTATTTTGATATTCCTAAAAATGCTGAATTTGGATCAATAGAAGCAAAGCTTAGGTCAGACAACAACTTGCTTCTACAAGAATTCATCTTGGTTTAATATGGGGTTGGTTACTGAGAATTTTATAACCCTTAATGAAATCTTTACCCCTACATCCACAGTAATAGATATCCAAGGCTATTTCTACTACTTACAAGTTAGATTCAAAGTTCAATGGCCTCAAAGGTGACAGTTCACCTTCAGGAAGCATTACCCATCAGATAACTTCATTAGTTGTCTACTTCTATGAACCTACAGCACCTTGTACTGATCTCACAATGTACATCTGCTTCCTCCTGGGCTAATGAGCCTGTGCCTTGCACTGCAGTATAGTATGAAACCCTGGAATTCAGCTCCTCAATATGTATTTACTGAACTGTATTATTCAAACAAGAGCAAAGATAGGACTATCCTCCATTACAACGAAGTATTTGAGTTTATCAAAAGAGTACATTCCCCAAGGAAAGCAGCTTATAATCTCATCAATAACTTGTTTGCAATTCTTGCAACCAGCACAGAAGTTGAACTAAAACTGCAATCAAATGGTACACCCAGAATCAAGACCAGCCCCCACAACTCTCTGACTTACCTTTTCCACATCACCTAGACCTTCTGTATCCAGAAGCACGAGTTTGAATTGTGGCTTGGTGGGGTGAGGCACACACCACATCCAGATGCCCTTAGTCTCAGACCTCACTGTATTGCCCAGATTGAAGCCTGCAACAGGGAATAAGAAAGTGAGCACATACATGAATCCTTAGAATATAGGAGGCAGAGGTTCTACCCACAATGGCACTGAGCTGATTCAGACACAAGATATTAGGAGGAAAACAGCCACTGCATGTTCTTTATAGGAAGAGGAAAGTAGTGGGACCAGAGCAGATTGAATGACCAGGTTTTAAAAGACTTAAGCATACATTTTACAAAATAAGACAGGCAAACTGCAAGATGTTAAGAGCTGTCTCACTTTGTCTATAAGCTATTGACACAGAGTCAAGCTCACCACATTAGCAAAAACTAAAATCAGATGGAACTTTTGTAAGGAAGTTGCAGAATTCTCTACTGCTGTTAATAAACATGTGAACTACAGCTACACATGAAGCTTGAAAAGTAATTTGATGTCATCAGGAAACACTGAGCATGCAAACCTCCTGAAATCTAGATTCACTTCTGATTATGTTATACCAAGAGAAGTTTGTGCAAAAATGTTCCAACATAAAGACAAGCTTATGTGGGAAAGCCTTGTCCTCCAAAATTAGCTCTGCAAAGAAATCAGTGTTCACCACAACAAATGTTATTTTCACATATTGACATACGAATAAACTTTTTAAGTAATTTAATAATACTTATGACAAACTAGATGAATTTTATAAATTTGTGAGCAAAAGAAACTAGAGACATCAGAATACATCCAACACATGTATCCAATACATTAAAATAGACATATATGCTTTATATAAATATGTGTAAGTATACTCACTAAGAAGTTTAAAAGTGGGCCAAAGTGAACTGATTTTTATAGATGCATATTTAGATTCTATAACTGTTTTTGGTAAATCAGTGGGGGAAGTTTCATGAAAATAAGAATAATGATGAACTTTGGGAGTGCATAAGATGATATGAATAAAGTATTTGGATGCTAACAAAGTTTTGTATTTTGACCTGGTCAGTAAAGAAATAATTATTTTTATTAATTATGCCATACACTGTGTTTTGTGTAATTGTGTGTGTGTGTGTGTGTGTGTGTGTGTGTGTGTGTGTGTGTGTGGTGTTAGATTTCAAATATTTGAAAAAGCTTAGGAGAGAAACATGTATATAGTTATTAAAATGCTGTGATAAAATAGGGCAGAAAACTAAAAAGATAACTCAAATAGGACATGACATAAACTCAAATCCTCCCCCTCTCCTTTTTCCTCCCTTGCTTTCTCCCTCCCTCTCTCCTTCTATTGCTCTCTCCTCCTTCACTCTCTCTTTCCCTGCCTCACAGAGTAATGTTTTCAAAGCCTAATTACCCACACTTCCTTCCCCCTTCCTTTCTTGCTTCCTCCCACCATCCCATCTCCATTATTTTAATAAACAATATGCAGTGAATTGCGTTTGCATTGACTCCATAGCAAAACTAAGATGAAAGAAATGAGAACGTGGTGGTAATTGATCTGAGCAGGAGAGAACGATCAGTTTGCATTGTCAGTGATTCCAAGCAAACGGCCTCGGTCCTTCTGGCTGAGGACAACACTCACCGTGGTTCTGTCCTGCCAAGCGGTTCATCAGGTAGGACTTCCCTGTACGGTACAGTCCCACAATGGCCACCACCACCACAGGCTGAGTAATCTCCTCAAGGATGTTTACTGCTTTGGGATTCACCCTCAGCTCTCCATTCTCATTTTCCACTAGACAGATGGGAGCCTCCATGCTGGTACCAGATGCCATGGTAACCTGCAGACCCAAAACACTTTTTCAGTAGAGTATGAGATCTCCAAGCCACCTCTAGTGCCAGGTCCATTAGCGTGTATTTCTACAATGTGTGCATCAATTTAAGATTTTGTTTGGGGGTTATTTTATCTTTGTTGTGGTTGCGTTTGGGTAACAATGTCTCAGGAATCTCTCCGGAATAAGCACTCCAAAACCAATGAGAGTGGAAGAAAGGAGATGTATTCATTTACCAGTGAACCAAAGCCAGAATGGTCCTGAAGGCTTCTGTCTGGAGTCTAGCTTGCATTCATATTTTATACTCCAAGACCACCAGGTGTGGCAAGCAGGCAAGCAAGGGCATTTTTTCCCCAGGAGCATATGTGGCAGTTACTTTTTGCTTTACAAAGATCTTTGTTACACTTGGCAGGTGTAAGCTTTTGTGGTCAGGTTAAGGGCTACAACCTATCGTGTTTTAGCTATTTCTCCAGGTAGATCTCATCCTGGGAGCAAAGTAATGTCTTGCTTGGCAACAAGCGGTACAAGCATGGTGCTTTAAGTCAGTCTAATAACTGGTTTTTTTTTTCACTTTATTCTACTTCAACAAAGTCTTATGTATGAAGCCCAGGCTAGCATCAAACTTTCTATGTAGCGTAGACTGGCCTTGAACGCCCAGTCCTGCCACGGACTCTCTTTGGCTTCTGATATTACATGCATGCATCATCACACCTGGCTTTCTAATTGTGATTCTTTTCTTGGGGGGCAGAGACTTTGTTACATTTTATGGGTTTTTTTGTTATTGGTGGGGGGGGTGTTTATGAGGGGGTAGGATCCCACCAAGCCCAGGATGGCTTCTTATTTTTTTTAAATTTTATTTATTTATTTATTTATTTATTTATTTGTTTGTTTGTTTGTTTATTTTGCAGCAGAGGCTGATCTTAAACTACCAATTATGCTTTATTTATTTATTTGTTCATTTGTTTGTTTGTTTTGCAGCAGACGCTGATCTTAAACTACCAGTTCTGCTTGCTTGCTTGCTTGCTTGCTTTCTTTCTTTCTTTCTTTCTTTCTTTCTTTCTTTCTTTATTATTTACTTTGCAGCAGAGGCTGATCTTAAACTACCAATTATGCTTTATTTGCTTGTTGTTTGTTTGTTTGTTTGTTTGTTTTGCAGCAGAGGCTGATCTTAAACTACCAGTTCTGCTGCTTCCACTTCCATTCATATGCTGCCGACGAGTGAAGCCAGGGCTTCATAAGCACTCTACTAACTGAGATCAGCCCCAGGACCTTCAACTTACTTTCCGTACAATAATAAGTGACAAGTTTATGACCTCACAGTGCCAACTCACCATCCCCATTGGCTTCATGCCCATGATGTTGAAGATGACATGTGAATATTATTTCTCTCCAGTGGCTAATTTCTCTGAAAATACATCCTAATTAATAAATACTTGTGTGGACAAAGCTGTGAAGGTGGTATCATACCTGTATTATCTCTTAAAGAAGCCTGTGTGTTAAAGACTGTTGCCTTTCCTTTTCACATGTGTTGGAGGCCATACATACATGCTGAATGAATGTTTAGAGAGCCTGCAAGTTACTCAGTGGAGCAGGGAAGAAACACCAATCTTCTCATCTCCCTTTTATAAAGACATGTTATTATGATATAAAGTGCAATCTGACTGAGTGCTGTTTGTCTTGAAGTATCAACTTAAAAACTATAGAGTGTTTCTTTGCCTAACATCAATTTAGAGTAGATGTCAAATGAGAAATCTCAGCTCACCTTAAATTTAACATTACCTTAATGATCAGTTCTATATTAGAAAAATATTGATGAGCAGGTCATTTTTTTTTCTCCCTGCTTTTATTCAGGACTGACTTACTATTCCAATTACGAAGCTTCAAATCCATATTAAATAAGTAGAACTGAATAGCTCCGATTGGATCATGTAAATCGTCCACAGTTTCCAAAAGTAGCTTGAGCCACACAGAAGACAGTTAAAAATGCCTCGGCCCTAGATTTTTCACAAGTCCCCAAAGCTGTCTGAAACTGTTCTTGGATGGACGACACCCTTTGAAACAAGACAAGGGGGTCGGATTTTACGGCCGTTTTTAACCTCGGACTGAGAAGAGTGTGACTGATTCTACACCACAGGGCGCAAAAGTGCAGCTGGTATCACAAAGATGCGCCAAACCCGCGTTGGGGATTCAGTCTGTTTGACATGACATGACATAGCTCTATTTTCTGTTTCTTCAGTTTCAGGCGGCACACGGGGAGGGTGCAACTAATCACTGAGATGGGTGAGAAAGAAGCTCTGCCTGGAGCCTAGGGTTAAGTCCCTGGGTAGGAGAAGGGAATTCGCCCCCCTATGGTGGAAGACCTGCGCCGGATTGAGCAGCTCGGGCTGATATCCTTGTGGGAACCTCGCATCCCTCCCCACAATGCCTGGCTATGGCTGATCCACTGCGCCCCCTGCTCCAAGCAGGGATGTCCTCAAGCCCTGAGGCTACCAAGCACCTCTCCTCACCATTGCCCACCCGCCAGTGTCACCTTGCACTCTGCTTGGAGTTTGCACCCTGGGACCTCAGGACTTTGCAGGCAGCCCCTTGGGAATATGTACATTGAATACCGAGTCGCAGGGAACTCACCTGACTGCGCCGCCGGATAATTCTCTGCTTACCCTGGCTCAGAACCTTTAGGTTTGCTGCTGCGCCTGGTTCCTCCCTCAAGATCTATTCTTAAAAAAAATTAGAGCCAAACAGGATATTGCACCCATCCTCTTGTGGTGATAAAGAACTGAAATTGAAACTAAATTGACTTGTTATTGCTTGCTTTCTGGATTTGCACAGTTTCCAGGAAACAAAAACAGAACCTGTGAGAGCCAAGTTCAAAGTTCCCTGCCAGATTGTCAGACAAAAATGAAAACAATTTGCGGATTCTCTAAACACTGACTTTTACTGGGCAATAACAGAGTGTTACAACAGGAATAAGCCAGCTCCTGCCACAGTGAGCTATTAGCTTATTCAAAGAAGATGATGCAAAGAAATTTTTTTAACTTAAAAATTTTCAGCCCATACATGATATTAATACTGTAGATATTAATGGGGTAATGGATGTTTCCACGCATGCATACAAACTGTATACATCATACGATGTATGGTGTAGATTGAGTTAACATAGTTATCTCTTCTAGCAGTTAACATTCCTTTTTGAGACGTGTACCACGTTGTCACCATTACTTTGCTGTACAGCAGCACGTGAGAACACTGGCTTCTCTCTTTTCTACAGTCCCTGCTGGAGATCAGCTTCCCTATGCCTCCTTCCACAAGGAGGTTTTCAAAGGCAAAAACAAAGCGATTACAAAAGATGTTTTGAAAAAATTAAGTAAGCTTTGTCTTAGGTGACATTGCCCAGATGCCTGCTATGGTAGTATTTTATTTGTACTGAAATGTGATTTTAATTGTATGTTAATAAATAAAGTTACCCGAGGGTCAGAGCTATTAGAGCCATAGCAAGAGCGTGGCAGTGGTGGCGCACACCTTTAATCCCAGCACTTGGTAGACAGAGCTAGGTAGATCTCTGTGTGTTCAAGGATACAGCCAGTATTGGAGATGCACGCCTTTAATCTCAATACCAACCATAGAAGACCTGGAAGTCTCTAGAGACAGGCAGTGATGAGGCAGTCATGTGTTTGGGTTTATAACCAATGAGAAGGCAGAACAGAAAGACTATATAAAGACAAACACACAGGAAGTAGGTCTCTTTCGGAGAGGTCTCTTGGCTTAAGAGGCTAGCTGCAGGGTAAGGCTCTTAGCTCTGATCTCTTGACTTTCTTCTTTGCATTGGTTCTGTGTTTCTTATTTAATAAGACGGTTGGTTACATCTACAGCCTGCTAACACACAACAGAGTGAGCTGTAATCATTGGTTGGTTAAGTGTCTTGATGCATTTCATTTTAGGGTGATTTTGTGATTGGGATGTAACCTCATGTTGGGTTAAAGAGCATATATCTTCAGACCAGAAGAGTAAAGTGCCTGTGTTTCATGCCTCCCTAGGGTTCCCTGGGCGTCCTTACTGAGCTAGGTAGGACATGGGGCTAGGGCAGGCCTGAGAACCGTACCTTCATAGTTCTTAAGGTGACCCTGCAGTTGGGAATGTGGGTTTGATTCCCATCTGTTAGTTAACTGAAGTGAACAGCCCATCGAACAATGGAAACTGGGAACTCTGTAGAATACTAGTTGTTAGACTCAAGGCTAGGATATGAATGCATTTGGTTGCAGTAAGACAGGGTGAATTAGGCAAATCTGAGAAAAAAAATACAAGTTTTACAGCTTTCATTTAAAAAGCTATTTTTATGATGCTTTTTTTCAAGACCAAAAGGATCTACTTCAGATTGACTTTATCACTGCAGCAAGACAGCAGAAACTGCAGAAATATGAGACTAAGACCCTGTTCAATTGGAGCTCAATGAGATCTTCCTGAAATCACCAGAAAAGAATGACCCAGCATGTGGGAAGTACTGTAATCAAGTGAGTTCAAGGACTTCAGCAGAATACAGACTGATCTCAGACTTCAATGAGCCATGTGTGTTCCAGCATCCTCTCCTGCTCTTGGGTGGTTTTCCTTTCCCCTCTATTTCCTCCTTCCTTTGGTCAATACTTACCTTGCCACTTCCCTCTTTTGGTGCCCACAGCCTACTCCTTCGCTTTCGTTGTTTGCAGTTTCTGTCAGTGTCTCCTTCATGGCTCATTTGGTGCTATGCAGAGGCCATGGAGACAGAAGACAACAGACTGCCTGGGATATTTTCTCCTGAGCCATCAAGAGTTGATTTTGCAATGTGGTGGGAAAGGACCTTCTCAGCTGACATCTGACCACAGCTACACTTCTTAGTTTTCAGACTCAGCAGAGCGTGCATTCCACAGAAAGAGAGAAATGCCTTTAGCTATAAGAAATTCTTCCCATCCAGCCTTCTAAGAGATGAGCTCTGCCCATCACCTTGTGTGCACAATGTCAGCCTCTTTCTGAATATATCGTGGTTCTATACAGTCATACACTGGACCCAGTAAAGTTCACATCCTTTTCTGAAATATCTCGCGTTTTCTTTCTGGCCGTGGATGAACTAAAATCCAGACTCTTGTGAGACATGAAAACCCCACAGTAGCTTTCCTCTCAGTGCCTTAGACTCTTCCTGCCCCAATGACACATTCACAACTCACACCAGGTTCCAGACAACCAGATGGCTGTGCAGTTCCCTGAGCACTTAACTTACTCTTTTTATATATGTCTGCACATCATTTTTCTTCTGCCTGGCTGCTTGTCTAACCTTTAGCCCTTAGCACAAGTATTGTCCCTTCATCTCAATGCCCCTGTCTCCCTTCCTAGAAAGTTCTCCACCTTTTCCTGTGGTTTGAATCGCTACAGCATACATTAAATTGTATTATTGACTCTGCCAATGGTTTTCTGCCTGCTTTACTCAGCTGTTGGGTGGTGTCTGCCCCTGAGTATTTGCTAAATATTTGTTGGATGGTTGATAAATAAAATATTTTTAAATCTCAGAAGTGCATATGATTATTATTGCAGTACCAGGAATGAAAAGGAGACTTTAAGTAAAGCAATATAGGAAATATGGACAGGATTTTGAAAGGGGAAAATGTCAGGATGAAAACAAAAAATATTGAGGTCAATATAGAAGTAGATTCTAAATATAAACAAAAACTGCCCATAAGATCTCCTCCCACTTCCTTTAAATTAACCTCAGAAACTTGGGGATTTTTTTTTCACATTTCCAAAGCACATTTATCAGACATATCCAAACCCTACTATATGTCTCTATGATATATCCTATGTTCAAATACACATTTATTCACATAACGGATAAGAGAATGAGTAAATGAAGTAGATATCCCCTCTAAATGCCATCAGTTACATATGTTGGTAAATAATATATGTTAGTCTCATAATATTAAAATAACTCCTTAAATAAGGCTAGAGAATGAAAAAAATAATATGAAGAAATAAGAAGAGGGATTTAATGATTTTACTGAAAAGCTATATCTACTTTTTTTTCTGGATCATTTAGTATCTGAATTTCATTTGTTTGAAGTATGAGACAGTTCACTACTAGTAAAATATATTGCATGAAATAATTTAAGTATCATTTTATCTCATTGTGATTTTGTATTTACAGCAGCTTCCAGTTTGATGAGCTACGTTTACTAGTGAAGACAGGTCAAAACATGTAACAAAGAGCACGACTTTGTAAGCCTTGGGAAATTATGACATTGAAAGCATTCAACCCACTTTCATTTCAGTACTAGTTGTATTAACATGACTAGTCCAGTATTGGGTCATAAATTTCTTAGATGATTTGAAACTCCAACCACTAGAATCTCTCAAGTAATAACCCACAGTAACCAACCACCAGTCACCATGGGCCTCAATCACTCTCAAAAGTTGATGGCAATGAAAAACAATAGGGCTTAGAAGATCCTGCCTTCTTCTGAGGCTTTCCCATCCCAGGCCTTGCTCTGATACCTGGGATCAATTCAAGATCTTCTCTAGGTTGTCATCTTCACGAAGATGGATCATTTTTCTGTTTCCAGCTACAGAATGGAATCCTGATTAGATCAAACAAGATCTGGAAAGAAACATGGAGGCACATCTGAGTCTCTTCTTCTTCTTCCTCCTCTTCTTCCTCTTCTTCTTCTTCTTCTTCTTCTTCTTCTTCTTCTTCTTCTTCTTCTTCTTCTTCTTCTCCTTCTCCTCCTTCTCCTCCTCCTCCTCCTCCTCCTCCTCCTCCTCCTCCTCCTCCTCCTCCTCTCTCTCTTTCTCTCGTTTCAGATCAAAGAGGCTTTAGCTTCTATTATCTCTGGTTCAATTACATAGATGGGTCACAGATAAATGCCCCATATTATATATTTACAAACCAAACTTTAAACTCCATTGGTAGTACTAGCTTTTATCTACTATCACCTTTAACCAACTAAGTTACAATAATGAAAAAAGTAGCAGTTGCCATTACCCAAAGTTCAATGAAACATGGCAGTTTGATCTCAGGGCCTAGAGGTTGATGGTGCTCATACTGGTGTAGACAGTGCTGTCCAGAGCACAGCAAGGCTGAAGATCCATGAGTCATTCTTAGGGTCACTCCATAAGGCACATGAGGGCAAGGGAGCAAGGAGTACATTCTTCATTTCCTCTGCATTTATTAGCCATTTGAGCTGGGCTTAACGTCATTCAATAGTAAACAAATCATAAAAGTTTGAAGACAACAAAAAATGTCAAATCTAATTCTGTGTCTTAGTACCAATCTTTTCAAAACCTCAGTTACACTATTATGTATGTAGAGAAGAAAATGACTTTTTTTGCTGTGAGTGAAATGTTTAGTACTACCTATTAAAATGCAATAGGTACAGAATTAAAAATTGTTTCTATAGCAAAATTGTATAAACTGTGGTTACATTGGGGACATACATGCTACTCAACTAAATTCAGCAAACTGTAGCCATTTATAAAAAGCTAGACACTGAATTACTTATACAGATAAATATTTTCATAGGTCAAGAATATGACATTTTTAGAGACAAATATGCAAATATAAATGTAAATAATACAATCATCTGTGGAAGTATTAGAAGAGTATAGGATTATATAAAATAAACAGTAATTTAGATAAGAGAGACAGTGCTATGAAACTTGAGAGCCAAAAGACTGTTGACAGATAGGAATGAGGCTGTAAATTTGATGGTAAGATCCAATAC